TAGTAGGCTGGTAATGAGAAAAAGGGATATGTTGTACATGATGATACAGAGCGTGATAAGTGTATGTTTTACAGCTTAGATATCATGATTATGATGATGTATGTTTTCTCATATTGTTTTCATACATTCCACCAAGGTAAGTGGATGGTAAAGGTTTTCATGTTAATAAACGAGTTTATGTAAATTGTGCTCCATTGGTCTTTTTGTGTTTTTCTACCCACCTTTACCTCCGTGACGGTGAGATATCGTGATGTTCTTACTGGGCTAGTGTAGCTCACTCCTTATTTAACCATTTCAGATCAGGAAGACATGGTTCCCGAGCCCGTTCCGCAGGAGGACGACGAAGGGGATACCTAGAGACTCTGTAGTCATACTCATAGTTTTATTTTCGAGTTTCTCTCTTAGTTAGTTTAATCTTTTATATTTTAAGTACGTTTTTGGTTTTTCGTGTAAGGGATGTTAACTGAAATTTTGATCTCGCTTCCGCATTTGATATACTTAAATACTCATTTCATTTTAATATTTACGGGGTCGTTACACGAGTAATGTATGTTTTTATCTATTTTAATTGATTAAGGATTTAAGTGACTTCGTGAGGAAGTTACTGAGTGAATGACAGTAAGTTAAGGATGTCCGCAGCCGAGTGACAGTGTAAAAAAGGACGACTACTGCAGAATTGCATGAATGGTAAGCTCTTGAAGAGGGTGTCTATAAATGTAAGTTGATGGCAGTCTCCCAAGGGCGGGATTAGAGGCCGTATACGGTGGAATTATACACAATTATGTGAGAAAGGTAATGGTAACATTCTATAAACGGTTGAATGGATGTTGGTCTACGTATGATGTAGAATTATTGGGATGCCAAAGTGCATCAGAATACACACACACACACACATATCCAAGGGCCAGACGTTGTATAAAAATATGCTCAGAAGACATACAATAATCTGACAGCCTCGAGAGGAGGATGACGTAGAATACGACTTCATTGTTGCGGATTGCAGAGTCTTGCTGACGACGAAATTGGAGGTAATAATAAGGTGGACATATAGAGAATGTAACAAAGTAGCTCATGACATTGATAGTAAAACTGATTTGTACTCATAAATTCATGTTTAAAAACATTTTTTTTCAAACATAACTGTATTATTATTCTGGTTAATGTAATATTTTTCGTTAAAGGAAATGATTTAAGTGCCTTCTAATATATTTTTGATATAACGGGTAAATTTAACATTATTTTTAATATTTCACAAAAATTAAATACGTTAAATTTTTATTACTATATTCTAATATCATCTATTAAAGAATAAATTGATTGAAATTTAGAGGTATAAAAAAAAGCGCTTATGATACGTACTCATCTAAAAGAATCCTTCCTTTTAGCAAAAATAAGCAATAAATCAAAAGTGATTATTCTTTAAAGATTTTCAAAAAGATTGAATTGCTTTTCTTTTTCATCGGATCCAAATTTTTTATATTAATATTTATCAGTTCAGAACTCGATTAAATTACGATCAATTAAAGATAAATATTTAAAATTGAAGATCGAACTATTCTTATTTTCGTTAGAATAGATAGAAATAGATTGAATATTTTCAATTTACTAATTAAACATTAATAAATAAATAAATAAAGATATTTGTAAGTTTATTGTAAATATAGTCTTTTAACTCAAAAAAAAAAATACCATATAAGAGAATATATTTATATACACACACACATATACTAAACCATTTTGCAGAACACAATAATTGAAATTAGATTTCAGAAGCAGCCATGATTACATGCCACATGCATGCTTGCTTGCCATAGGCTATGTACATATATGTGTGTATAATATATACATATATATATATACATATTATATGTGCAGTACCTAGTTTATTACAGGTATATATTACTTTTATAAACTAATTACTAAATGGTAAGAACAAAGGCTACCATTCCTTGCATTTCTCTTGTGCTAGGTGCTATAATTTTAGCATATACATATATATATATATATATTGCTTACCATATAGTTTATTTTTTCCTTATTTCACTACAACATTATATTTATATTTCCCCACCTTTTATTCCAATTTTATATGTACCCTACCCTACCTAATCCCTTCTATCTTACACATCACATATATATATATATTAGATTTGTTCAATTAGTTACAGTCTACAATTCATAAGCAAATTACTACTCAAAATAACCCTATATAAGTTACACCGAAAATAATCCGAATTCAAATTTTTATCTTAATTTATATCATTACGATATTGCGTAAATCTATCTTATTAAATAATAATTAAATTTTTTAAATAATATTTTTTTTTTATAAAAATTTATTTATAAAGGTATTTAAAAAAAATACACATAAAATTCTAATTATAATTATAATTTATGAATTTCTCTAATAAAAAATACTATAGTAGAGAATCATCAA